ACACTCACCCATTCAGCCGTTGGCGCGGCCACGCCAGCTGCAGCTCTGGCTGCCGCCGACGCGTGTGCTGAAGATGAAATGGTGGGGATTGGGGGCTGGGCAATCACATCCTCCCAAGTGGTGTGGTTCGCCGAGACCTGGAACATGCAAGACATAAGAGCCGTGTGGCCTTGCCTTGTCAAGCCAGCACAGCGGTATATCGCATGCTTTTTAGCACTGCTGCAAGCAACCCACAGCCACATTGGTGGTGGGCACTACTCGTTTAGCATGCCGTCCGGCACGGACAATTCCGCCACGGAAGCAAGCCTTAACAAATTGTTCACGACCTCATGGCCGTTGCAACTTTTTGTGCAGTTAACAGCCTTCTGGGCTCACGCTCACAACGTGCTGCTGCAGCCCACGCACGTTCCAGGAAGGTGCAATGATTGGGCAGACGATCTCAGCAGAGGTCGGTTGGCCCGATTCAGCCATCGCCCTGAAAGTCGCATGCGCTTCAGCCCTGCTAGCCTGGCGATGTCAGGCCGAGGCATTCAACTGTGTCCGATGCATGCGCCCTGGCGTCCGCAACATTTGGCAGCAGCGTCCATCGTCGCAAAGCCAGCCTAGCCTGCATTCGACTTGGCCTTCTGAACCCTTTTCCGCCGTTGCCTTGTCAGCCAGAACAACTGGCCATGTCAGCCAGCCGCTTGCACAAGCCGCTCTGACCAGAAAAAAGTGCAGTCGCCGCATGCCGAGCTGTTCACAACACAGCGTGCATGGTGACCCTAACATCTGCCCTGCCAGGTACAACCCCACTCTGAAGGGCGGGTGATGAGGCCTTCGGCCCAGCTGGTCCGCTTTTACCGGGGTTGACTGAAACACTGAAGGGGGGGTCAATGCGCCTCCTGCTCCAGGCGCACTAGTGCCCTGGAAGCAGTGCAACTTTCAGCAATCCCGGTGAAAAGAACTGCGGCCGCTTCGGACGAGCTTTGTTCTTTCGAGGTTTCATGTTTGGGTTCAAGCTAGGAGCAGTGCGACATGCCTTAACGCTTAGGGTTTCTTTTCCCTTGTGTTTAGGGCATGTGGTGAATCGAACTATGCGTTGGCCATTTTGCTCCTAGCCTTGACCCAAACCTGCGGTTTCATTTCTGAAACCCACCCACCCGCCCTGCACTGCCCTATACCAGGCTTTGCCAGGATAGATAGCAGTTTCTCTGCACTGCCGTGGGTCGCCTCCGGGCACTTTGGTCTGCGCACCAGGTCTCCGGACCAATTTCGGTCTCCGGACCTCAAGTCTCCGGACTTTCGGTCTCCGGACCCTGGGGCGTGGGCACGCATGCCGCGCCCCCCAAGCACTGCATTTATACGCAAGGACACGCTTTGTCTTGCCTTTTCACATTTCGGGGGGTCAATGTGCCTCCTGCTCCAGGCGCACTAGTGCCCTGGAAGCAGTGCAACTTTCAGCAATCCCGGTGAAAAGAACTGCGGCCGCTTCGGACGAGCTTTGTTCTTTCGAGGTTTCATGTTTGGGTTCAAGCTAGGAGCAGTGCGACATGCCTTAACGGAGTTGTCTCGTTTATTTGATCTCGTTTCTGGGCTTAATATTCAATCCGCCGCGATGACTTCCTTGATGGTCTCCGATGCGTGCAGGCGTCTTCCAGAGAAGCCCGCCGCGTGGGTGAGGACGCTCCCAACCTTGGCCGCTCTGATGGTGCAGCGGCCTCCCGGTGACGCGCTACGCAAGCGGCCTCCTGAGGATGCGTGCTCAAGGCCGAGCGCTCGCGCCAGCGAGTCGCGTCAAGTTCCTCGAGGAGGAGCGATGCCAGGTACCGCGTGAGGCAGGAGCGTCGCATCAGACTCCTCCTGTTGCAGCTGGAGCTGGCGGAGGATCGCGTTAAGATGCTCGAGGAGGAACTGGGCCGGGCCTGGCGTTTGGTTCCGCGGTGAAGAAGAAAAGCCCGCCCAAGCGCACGCACGAATGGTGCTTTTTTTAAGAAACACCCGCGCAGCCTCTTTAAGCAATACCGCCGTGTGGATGGGCAAAGACGCTCCCGACCTTGCGTCCGCTCTGATGGCGCAGCGGCCTCCTTGCGAGCGGCCTTGCAAGGATACGCTGCTTGAGGCCGAGCGCTCGCACCAGCGGCGTCAGATCAAGCTCCTTGAGGAGCTGGAGAGCAAGGAGGCGGAAGTCGAACAAAAGCGCAAGAGCGCGGCGCAAATCTCCAGAGAGATGCCGTTGCTGAGACGGCTCTTCACCGCCTGGCCACGCGCGCCCAACGGGCAGAGCTGGCCCTGCGCTGACTCGAGGCGGATCTTGAGTGGTGGGCGGCGGGGCTACTGGGACGTGGGCAGAGACCATGCATGGGGGCTCGCCGTGCCCCCCACTGTTTGAGGAGTGGTGGGCGACGCCGTAAAGAGTCAAAAGGGAGGGGGGGGTCTCTGCGACATGACGCTGCCTTCGCTGGCGGGAGTGTGATTCTAGCCCCCGCGGCTCGGGAGCTGCGTTTTCGGGGCCCAATTTTCAACTCTCGACGGAAGTAGTTGACCCTGGAGCCCCTGCTTTCGATCGGCTTTACCTTGATCCTAACCATATCCCCGACCTTGATTTCCGGGCGGGTCACTTTGTGTTTGGCCCTGCGGTCGATGTTGCGCAGAGCTATCTCGGCCATTTCTGGGTCTGAGGAGGCGAGGTTCGGCGCCACCTGCGTGGTAGCGTGCTTCCTTCCGTTGATTTGGCTTAAGATGTCGGGCAGCATGATGCCACTGGCCCCGCCGGCCCGCTCCGGCTGCTATGCGACGCAACATGGCCTCCTTGATGGTGCGAATGGTGCGCTCCGCAAAGTAGGCGTGGCCCCTGGTGACCTGCTTTTCGATGTCCCAGAAATCCATCAGCTCCTTGAACTCCCTCTTGAACTCGGAGCCGTCGTCGGAGTACACGTTGGCCGGCACCCCCAGCCCGCCGCAGTGGTGGTCGCAAGACGGTCCTTCAGCGGCTCAGCGTCCACGTTTTTCGTCAGCGCGTCGACGGCTACCAGCATGTAGGGGAAGGACTTCCCCCCAAAGGCCTTCATGTCGGCCAGGTCCACTTGCAGCTGGTTCATGGGTACAAAGGCACGAAGCTGTTGTAGCCCCTTTGCGAACGGTCCTGGTTCACTGGAGGAGGCCGTCCAGAAACGCCTTCACTTGCTGTCGTACAGGGGTCGTAGACGTTGTCAGCCTTGGACATGTGCGCCACAAAGTTGGAGGCCGTGCCGAGGCGATACTGGCAGGTAAAAAGGAGCTCCCGGTCGGGCGTCAGGCTGTAGGTGCGCACGATGTTCCAGGGGTTCACTGCCAGGGTCAGGGTGTAGCCGTCCACGCGCCCCCACTGCAGCCGGAGCGTTATTTGCCGCTTAGTCTTGCTTTTTGTGGGTCGATGAATCTGTCAGGATGACATGTGGGAGGGGCTTTCGGATTACTGCAGTCTCTGGGGGCACTTGTGCCTGGTTTTGCATGTTTTGGCTTCGGGTGACGTGCCTGTCGGCTTGGTTTGCGGCGGTCTGTTTTCGTCAGACTGTCTGGAGTTCGTTTGTATAGCTCCGTTATACCAGCGGTTATGCATCAGGCAGCATGGGGAAGATAAGGTTGCCACTCCATCCACGGCATCGTAGTCGAGTCAGCGTGGGGAAAAACTAGACAGCAGGTGGCCCGGAAACATAAAGCAGAATTGTCCGGCCAGAATTGTTGGCTATGCTGCTTCAAAAACTTTGTTCCCTGTGATTCTTGTGTTATTTTGGTTCCTTGTGTTTATTCTCCAGCTAGGCGCCGAGACTAGCACGACTGCAGTCATTTTTCTTTCCACGTGCGAAGCGCAGTCCACGTGCGTGCAACGAAACAAGAAGATCACGGAGCTTCGGAAACACTCGCCTGCTCCCCGTTGTTGCGAATGTCGTAGTCCAGCTAGGGTAGAAGGTTTTCGGCAGCGTAGCCAAGCTGCTCCGTAAGCTGCTGAATCCTCCCACCATCTCTCACGATGTGTTTCCAGTGTTGCCAATGCCCAGAGCACATGCGAGCGATGACGCCAAGGTCGAAGTCCTGGTCGTTTGTCTAGGCGAAGTCAGCATGGAGCCAGTCTTGGCCTTGTACCGCTGCTTCAGCCCGTAGATGCTCAGCATCAGGAAGGCCAACTGCAGAATCTGCAGCAATCTTAGAAGATGAAGTGAGCGCTGTCAACACAAGCCTCGCGCACGCACAACGTTAAGACAGTGCTCCGGGCTTTTGCGACTCAGGTGAACACAGTCGACAAACACATCCGTCAGGGCCAAGTGTTAACATGCTAAACCATGCCTCTAGTCAGGTTGGGTACATAGAGCTGCAACCACGGCTTTTTGCAGATGGCCCCTGGCACGCTGCCTCAGTCTTGGGATCCCTCTGCTGCTGCACGCCGAGGCCAGCGAAGGCACGAAACTTGTCCAGCTTCATCGAGCCTCTTTGCGCCCGGAGAGAAAAGATCTTTGTACACAACGCTCTCGGGACCTTGGGGCGACACAAACCATGACGATGCCAAGCAAACCTTTGCAGACTGGCGCTTGTCTCGCCCGTGCACAACCTGTCACGGCTTCCGTGCTCCAGATGATAGAATTCAAGGATGTGAAGGCGCAAAAGTCGCTCCTCGGGCTACCAGCAGCTTCCATGTATAAAGGCCTTCCCAGTCGCGTCCAAATGAGCCAGGGCGATGCTGCCTTTCCTTTTGTGTGTGCGCCAAACGAGCATGAAAACATGAGAACAAACACCAGAACGGCCATGTTCAAGAAATTTATTAAACCCTGAGCCATGTTTAGGGTTTGGGATGGTTCGTGACCGCCAGTGTACAATGTTGTTGCTTCGTCTTGGGGTTGGGGTGGCTCGCAAGGGTTCAGAAAAAGTGAGGGGGGGTTGTGCAAGGTTCAAAAAGCGTTTCATTGCAAATGTGAATGATGAAACTTGGAGCTCAATTTGCGATGTGATCTGAGGCCCATCGACTTGCCTTGCGAGCATTGCACAGCGGCAAACATGTGCTCAAATCAGAGTCCCATGAAGGCCATTCAGCACTTGGGATCTTGCAAGCCACAACATGCACCTTGGGTGTTCGCCAGTTCGGTGCAGGAATCGACGTTGCAGCGGAAACACGGTCCTTTCCAATCCTGGGCCTTCCCGGTCTCATGCTGTTTCTTTGCGCATGCGCGATCCAGGCTGAACACCCGCCTTTGCACGGGTAAGATGGGGAGCTCGGAGTCAAAGCTGGGTGAAGATTCGGGTACAAATCTTGCAGGCGAGCTGTTTCTGTATGACGAGACGTATGGCTATGCTGCATTTGAGGCGCTTGAGAGAGGCAATGGATGCAAGGCATTGGTTTGCATTGGTGGGCTGACGGATGGCTTGTTGAGCTTGCGCTACATGCCGCCGCTGGCAAAAGCTGCCCACTCGCTGGGATGGCGCACGATCCAGCCAGTCCTTCAGAGTAGCTATCGCGGATGGGGATTCGCAAGTCTTGCTGAGGATGCAGTTGATCTTGATCGCTTGCTTTCGTTCCTGAAGAGCCAGCGAGGAATTTCGCAAGTTGTGCTGTTGGGATCCTCCACCGGATGCCAAGACGCGGTGCATTTTTTGAAAGCGGGGCAGCAAGCCTCTATGGTGCAAGGGATCATTCTGCAGGCGCCGGTGAGTGATCGCGAAGCTTTGCTCGTTGAAACGCGGACGTCAGAGCAGGAGGCGGCGCTCGCGGAGTTCCAAGGCCTTGCGGCGCAAATGGTCGCAGAGGGCAAAGGAGAGGAACTGATGCCTCGTGCTGCCTGTCAAATCATGGGGCCGCCACATGTCATCACGGCTTATCGCTTCGACTCCTTGACGAGGCGGATGGCTGATGATGACATGTTCTCCTCCGACTTGTCGGACCTGGAGCTGAGGCAGAAACTGGGTCATGTGAGCGTGCCTGCCTTGTTGGTCTCGTCGGCCGACGACGAATACATCCCGTCCTTTGTGGACAAGGCCGAAAGTGGAGCATTGGTTGAGATCAATCCCTGGTTGGGAAACCAAGAGGATGTTGTTTAAGCAATTAGTGGTTTGAAGGTTCAAAGCATGGTTGACCCAATGCTGATTCTCTTCACCTAGAAATCGCAGCCAACCACCGCCAGCCATAGGTGTCGTTAGGTTAGTTTCGTTAAGAATAGATGGGTCCCACTGGTTCACATGGGGTTTATTCCATGTGCCGCCGTGTATTTTTCCAAAAGGCCACCTATGCCGCCTGCTTTCTTTGAGGTCCCGTGACTCGTTGCGTCGGAGCCTAGGCGCGTTTGTGCGAGCGCCTGGGGAGCGCTATGGCAGTGGGGGTCACGGAAGCAGTGCAGTGCCTGGTGCTGGAGAGCGGCGGTCATGGCGTGAGGCGCCTGGCTGAACTTGCTCAGAGTGGTCAGCGTTGCGCTGGGTAACAGCCGCATTTCAGGCATCCAAATGGTGAAAGTTCGATCCTTCTGTCAAGCACAATTTCAGGCATGGTGAATTTGGGGTTCCAATTGGAACCACAGGGAATGTCCTGGGGTGAGTTTGGTTGAAAATAGACGGTTTCACATGAAAGCGGCGCCATTTCAGGGTGCCCAACCAAGATTTCCCCGACCGAAATTATGAATGGGCCAGTGACCATGAGTCCTCAAGGCATTTGAAGTCCACACGGGAAGTTGGCGCTTTGGGGTCGTTATTTTGTCAAAGTCTGCACCTGGGGGCCGTTTCCCATTAACCTGCCGAGTAGTTGTCCAGCGTTCCTTATCACAAGCTTCCTGGATCTTTTTCGTGGGTTGGTCCCAATTGGGCTTTGGACAATGTGCAAACCCCCCTTTCCAAAATGAAAATCGCCTTCTGCAAGGGTAGCGAGGGCCCATTTCTTGCTCCCACACCCTCGGTGTTGGAAACATTAGCCCAACAGTGCTGGTAGATGGCACTGGTTTTTACTTGAAAGCCATGCGCTATCTATCCTTCCCCCAAACGACGCTCCCACACCAAGTCACAGGCCTCTCCCCAAACCGCTCACGCCGTGCACCGCGTGCCAGGTCTGCCGAGGGCCAGGGCCAGCTCTTGCAAGGAGTGGAGGGCTTCCTCAGAGCCTTGGACGGCGAAACGCTGAAGCCTCTCAGCTGGGAGCTCCCGCTGTCGCAGCAGCTGCGGGCGAAGGCAGACAGGCGCCACAGAGGGGGATGATCTGGATGTTTGTTTCTTCTTCTTTTTTTTTGGGGGGGTTCTTTTCTTAGGTAGCCTGGGTTAGTACCTGGGGAGTTTTTTTTTGGGGAGGAGGGGTGTTCTTTTCTTAGGTAGCCTGGGGTTAACACCTATGCCCAGAAAATTCAGCCACGCTCAACGATTTCTGGGTTGCTACTGTGGGTGGACAAATTTTCCTGTAAATACCAACAAACAATGGTTTCCAAATTGGTTTGCCCTTCGAGGTGTACTCAACGGCCACTGATGGTGGCGATCGCCGGCGTGCCGGGCTCGGGGAAATCCCGTGCAGCGCAGATCTTGGAGCGGCTGCTCGGAGCTGACTGTTTGCACGTGCCCATGGACGGCAGCTTGGCGTATGACAGGGGCGTGGTTAAAAAAATGAAGAGCCACTGTGGATGGACAAAATCAATTTCGCACCGCTTTGAAACCACGGGAAATCATCGCGTTTGTTGGTATTTTGTATTTTCAGGGGAATCCTCACAAACCATGACTTCTTTGGTGGTGCAGGATTTCGTCCATCCACAGTAGGGTTACGCAGGTTTTAGCCTTGGGTTCCGTTGCCAAGCTGTCATTTTGGTATATTTTTCGAGCCACGGCCTTATTGTTTCTACTTTGAGATTTTGCGTGGGGCGGGGTTATGCTGCCTTAGCTCGGACCTTGGCTGCTTCGACTCCGGGGGTCAAAGTCTTAGGAACAACTTGGAGGACAATCAGACAATGGTTCAAGATTTCGATTGTTTGGACAAAAGGGTTTTTGGTTCCCCACGCTACCCAAGCAAAGCGCCCGTCGACCTTTTCGGAAATGGGTGAAGCTTCCTCGCATGCAAGTGCCTTTCTCCCACTTTGCCCTGTTCCCAAAAATCAAACTCATGGAAATGGACGATTGAAGAGTTTTGGAAGACCAACGCCATCCTTTTGGAAATGCTTCGAAACGTCCACTTCCATGATCAGAAAGAGGGTGCCAAAGGAGCCTTTTGTGTTTTCCCCCAAAAGGAGGTCCCCGTTTTTGGGGCACTTTTATTTTGTCGTTTCCTGGTTTTTGTATCTTCTTTTTGACAGGGAAACCAAAAGACCACCATTTTGGACACCTCGAGCGCCGCTTGCGAGGCTTCCACCTCCCCCTGGCCCAGCTGCAGGCGCGGCCCGACGCCGAGGCGGCGGTGTATCGCAGAGGCGCGGTGGACACCTTCGACCCCAAGGCCCTTGAGGCCAAGCTGCTGGAAGTCAGGGAAGGGAACCCGGAAGTGCTGCTGCCCCAGTTCGACCACGTGCCCCGGAAGGAACACATCTCGCACACGGGCCGGGGGTGGGGGGGGGGGCGGGGCGGCATTTTTTTGGTATTTGTTCCGTTTTCGTTGTTTTCTTGGTTGCGTTCTCCACGTTTTGCACCGGGTCTCGCTGCAACGGAGTACATTTGGCACCGGTGAAAGATACAGCAAACATGTTTTCCTCGGGCCTGTCTTGTTGTTTGTCGGCTTGCTTCATGCGAGGCGCATGGGGATCCTGTCCCAGATGCTCTGCGCTTTAGAGCCGACAGGCACCGAATCGTCTTGGTGGAAGGCCTCTACTTGCTCCATGACAAAGATGGGCCCCTCAGCTGCGCTTGGGACAGCTCCGTTGCCTCATTTTTTTTCCGCAGGTTTTTAACGAGGATTGGGATCCTCGAGCTCAGATGCACAAGTTGATGTCCAACTGGTCCAAATGTATCCTCAAATAAGAACCTTGTGGACGCTCGACCAAAACCCGGAGTGGGGACCAAGGTGGGAAGACATCGCAGATGTCTTTGATTTCCGGATCTTCTTGGATGCGAACTTAGAGGCCCGAGCTCGGTGACTTTTTTCTTTGCGGTTGGTTTGCGCAGAGTCGATTCCTGAGGAGTGCATTGCACGGGTGAAGGAGCGCAACAAAGTCATCCCAGGCGGGAGCTGTCGGAGCTGCCAGGGTTGGGGCTCCGCGGTCCGCGGGTGTGGGTTTGGTTTGGAGGCTCGGTACCCTTTTTGGAGGGGCAACAGTTGCTTTTCGAAAGGTTCCGCGAAAGCGGTTTGTTCGTGGAGGGTTGTTTATATTCCCAATGGTTTCGGCAGCGAACTGAAAGGAGAGCCGACCTGTTCGGGCCCCGGTTCCCCTGGTTGGACCGCTTGAGTTTGTGCCCAGGTTACACAGTGGAAGAGATCGAGCAGCGATGCGAAGTGGTGGACAGAGCAAACGCCCAGGCCGGGCAGGTTTTTGAAGGTGTCAACCGAAAGGATCAGTCTCGTTGCAGCTGCCAGGCACCCTGTCCATGGGGTATCGCGGCTCGCGATCAAATGAACAAGACACCCCCGAAAAAGTTGGGCTCCCGAACAGAAAAGTTGGCTCGTCTCGCTCCAACGAGGGGAGCAGACTCTCGCTGCTTCCATCTGGTTCAGCGGGCCAGGTCGTGCAGGCCTCGGCTCGTCGAGCTGACCTCCAAGTAGCGAAGCAGCGTCTCGAAGTAGCGTAGAACAAAAGGTGCTCCTGGGTCGCGGGAGCGTGCCGCAATCATTTGGCTGTGGGTCGAAACCAATGGAATCCCATTTTTTGGGTTTGTTCACCACCCATTTTGGTCTATTTTAGTGGGGATTGGGATGTTCACTGGGGGTACGGGATTTTGACCCATGGCCATTTCTCTCTGTTCAGCAAGGCATGTATATTGAGTTTTGTCCACTTCGCCGTAGGGTGGGTATTTCGACTCCCAGAATGTTTACGTCCCAACTGGAGCATCACAGCGCGGCACGGCCGCAGCCAGGAGCTCCAAGAAACCAAGATTGAGACGGATAATTAGTCCTTAAAAGCAAGGATCCGAGAGCCACACGATTCCCGAAGCGCCTTGTTGGCCTGTGAAAGAAGTTCATTGCCCCGAGCCCTCGGAACCCGTCCTCCATTCCCGATTGGGGCTTGACCGAAGCCGGGGCTCACTGGCCATGGTGCGCAAGAAGGCCCGCGAGGCGCCCGCAGGCCAAGTGCCCGAGTCTTTGGGATTGGTGACTTTCTTTGCAAGAGCTACTCAATGCCTGAGTTCCTGCGGTTGTACCTTTTTGGGAAAATTCAGAAAAGCCGGAAATCGGGAGGGTCTTGGGCTCGGGTGGGGAGACAAGATTCGTCTTTTCGGCCAGGTGTTTTCTTCGGGCCAAGTGGCCATGGGTCAAAAGCCAAATCGTACCTCCAGTGAACCTCCCAATCCCCACTCAAATAGGTTCTAAAATGTGTGAATTCACCTACCTACCAAAATGGGATCAAAATAGGTTCCAAAATGGGTGGCGAATTCACCTACCTACCAAAATGGGATCAAAATAGGTTCCAAAATGGGTGGCGAATTCACCTACCAACCAAAATGGGATCAACATAGGTTCCAAAATGGGCAACATAGGTTCCAAAATGGGTGGCGAATTCACCTACCAACCAAAATGGGATCAACATAGGTTCCAAAATGGGTGGCGAATTCACCTACCAACCAAAATGGGATCCCCTTGGTTTTGACCACCACAGCCGAGCCTCCTCGCCGCCGCCCCTTTTGAGAGGCGAGGCGCCCCCCCCGGCTTCCGCGCCGAGTCCTGGTCGGAGCTGGACGCGGTGGGTTGCGCGGCCGAACTCGTCTGAGAGTCAGCTGGGTGCGGTAGAAGAGAGTTGGAAAGGGGGGGGGTGGGTTCTTCAAAAAGGACCTGACCAGTGACTCTTACTTTTTTTTGGGAGGGAGGGGGGCTAGCGCGAAGTCCCCTCCTGCGAGCCGTGTTACTTCTTTTGAACATGGCCCAAAAGAGTTCGCGGCCCGGGGCTGAGGAAGTTTCAAGCACGCGCGAGATGTTGGTTGGTGCAGCGGTGACGAAGCCCTCGGGAATCCGAACCCCGCACCAGAAGCCAGAAGCCGCGTAGAAGAAGATCATAGGTATATCAACATTATCAACCTGGTATACAAAACTCCCTCGCCAGCTCATCCGTGCGACACTTTTTTGCCTCGGAAGTCGCTTTGAACCAGCCCCCGCTTTCTTTTTCTCGTAGGATCAAAGTCCGGCGGCCGAAACTTGGCATCCAGCAAGTTGTTTGCCTCAAGCGGGGTGTTGAATAGCCTGTAGTCCTCAGATTGTCCCAAAAAGACGCCAATTGGGGGATGGATGATTTTCTCCCAAGTTTTCCGGACCTCCGAGCCTCCCACCTCTGCCAGTTTGGTGTTATATAAGGGAAACCAGCTCAGGAAAGCCACCAATGGTGACACAGACCCATGCACCCCAGCAGGCGGGTTTGTACCTAGGCGGCTGGGGCTGTGACAGCACTGGCCGCAGCCCTGCTGCTGGCTTCGAGACAGCCGACACCAGATGTGATTGAGCCGCGGCACGAAGGAAACGGCCGGCGTCGGACGTTGGGTCACACAGCATGTTTATATATATATATATATATACATATATATATATATATTATGTATATATGTATATATGTATGCATATATACACATGTTTCTTTTTACACACATGTGCATATATGTATACGTACATTGACATATATATATATATATACACTTCAGTAGAACCAACACTTGACCGGCTTTTACGCCTAACAATACCCACTGAATGCTCATCCTGAGGCCCGAATGTTTGAGACTTGAACTCGAGGAATCCGCACGTGGGGCACCTGACCAAGCCTTCGCCAGCGCGGCGATTCCTTTGGTCCGGAAGTTTGTGAAGTCCAAGTACAAGGACTATGGCCAGGGCAAGGACTCTTGGCTCAAACCGCAGACAATTCTTTGGGGGGCATTGAGGATTTTTTGAATGGACCCTCCACAACCTGTTGTCTTTTGTTGGTGGTTGTTATTTTTTGGCAATCCACTCAGGACTGCAGTTCGAGGGGGGCTTGTGATTTGGGAGGGAGAAACCTGCGTTTTTCGGCGGCGGTTACCAGCGGGAAACCAGCGGGAGATGATCAGTTTACGCTGCTTGTTTTTGAGCATATGCTTTGAGGTGACTCTTCGGCATTTGAAGGAGCACATCGTCAAAAAGTCAAAGCTTGGTTTGACCTACGAGGACCAACTGGGCCAAAGAAAGCCGAGGGCGGGAAAAACTTGATGTATGTTCTGCACCTTATGTGGGCGCCCTGCACTGCTCAAGCTGGCTTCAGCACTTTCGCAATGACTTGCAGGCTGAAAACAATGGTGAGGTGTGGTCATCTCTGGTCCATGACTCTCAAATTACCTCCAGAGATGCAAGTTTTGACCGTGGCAGCAATGGATTTGTCAGGATCTCCGAGACGATCGTTACTCTGCGATCATCGAAGATGAAGTGGATGCCATTGTGGCCAGATGTGATGGCGGCAAGACGCTCGGTCCAAAATGCGCTTGCTCTTTGTGACTTTCAGTCTTCTCGTTTCTTCAGCGAATCCATTGCGCGATCCCAGGAATCCATCCAGCTGTGTGGAGTTAGATGCTTAGAAAAAAAGCGAGTCAGCGCCCGCCGCCGCTTCCGAAATACCCAACGCTTTGGTGCAGTGTGAGGGGTCAGATTTCCAGTTTCGACATTACTTGTCGGACCAATTGCTGAGTTTCCGCTGTGCTTTGAGGGAATGTAAGGAGCCTTGTGAAAGTTTGTCCCTCTGTGCAGCCTTGGGCTCCGAGTTCCATGATGAACACAGCAACGCATCAGCTCCCCACACATACACTCACCCACACACACACACACACCCACACACTCACACACATGCAAACACAGAGGTTTGGCCCCCCAGCGGCACACACACACACACACACACGAAGTGCCGCATGACAACGAACACACACGCGCACACACACACATACACACCTCTACCTATACCTACACCTGCATCTACACAAACGCAGCTACACACACACACACACATGTCTCTCTCTCTCTCTCTCTCTCTCTCTATATATATATATATAAATACAATATGCATGTACACAGCGATACCTTGCCAGTGGCTCAATCCACTAGCATCACTGGAATCACGGCTTGCAGCTCGCAGCTCGAAGATCGATGTCGGTGATTGGCCAATTTCGACTGATTGTGCCAGGGAGCGCTGCCAAACCTGCCCCCAAGATGGGGCAGACATTGGGACAGCTGGGGATCAACATGGCGAGCTTTTGCAAGGAGTTCAATGCTCGGACCACGAAGGTTCGCCCAGACGTCCCGCTGCAGACCACTTTGTTCCCGCGCACCGACCGCTCGTACAAGTTCTTCATCCGATCCCCGCACGCGAGTTGGTTCCTACTGCGAGCGGCCCGGCTTCCGAAGGGCAGCGACTTTGGCAACGGCGCGCCTCCAGTGGGGAACATCACCCTGAAGGAACTGTACCACATTGCAAAGGCAGAAATCCGTGGACAAGGGCTTCAAAACCCCCCCACTGTGACAATTACCGGGCAACCATCTTTAAAAGGGGGACGGGTTTCACTTGGTGTCACGGAAGTGGAATGGCAATTTGCAGAACCACGGCCCAGAGCTCCAAGCAGTTGATCGAGATTTTGATTGGCTCTTTGGCTTTCTTAATATGATGTGCTTCAGGTGAAGAGCATGGATCCCCAGTTGATCGGAGTGCCAGTCCGGACGATCTGTTTGTCCTTGATGCGCACCGCAAAGGCCATGGGCATCTTGGCACTGCTAGACTTGAGTTTAGAGTCTTTTTGTTTTTTTTTTTTTTGGACATGTGGCTATGTCTCAAAATAGGGGGACCCCAAATATTGGTGGATCTCCTCTGAACTACCCCCAAAAGGGGTACCAAAAAACTCTAGTATCCCGCTGAAAGCCTTTCTGTTGTCGCAAGGGATCAACGGAGGCATCCAAATCACGCGCGAGCTTCAGCCAGACTTCGCCAAGCGAAACGACGAGCCGGTGGAAGGCTTGGAGGAGAGGCGGAAGCAGCTGCGGCTGCTGAACAAGGCATCAAAGAAGGGAGCCAAGAAGAAATGAGGCGAAAAGCTCAGTTGCCCCAAGCGAATCGTGTGTGATCTGAGAGAGACTTTTTTTCTTCCTCCTGTCCATGGTTTTCCTCAGGGTCGCACAAGTTTAATATTTTCAGGTGCGACAGGGGCAACTGAGGAAAGGATCCTCTGTTCACTTCACTCTGAGGAAAGGCGAGTCACAATTAACACCCAGAAGGTCATGGACATTCCCTGCCATACACAAGTGATGATTTTGACTCGAAGCTGAGACCAACAGTTCGGCAAGTGCGCAAGGAAAAGAACTGGAGCACAGTCTGAGTAGCTTTGCTGTTTGTATGTGCGCCAGTGTTCTCCTCACGCTTTCTTGGATGCCATTTTTAGCTTATATCAAGAAGATGCTGGTACATCTATGTAGCTCACTGACAAGTGGTCCTTTCTTTGTTGCCGTCATTCTTCAGACGGCATGCCAATATGTTCAGCCTAGCGTTTCTTTGCATACGGCCTCCCTGCACCAAGAAATGTTTTATGCCTCTTTGTGTGGGGGGCCCTTTTGGGGTTGTTTTTTTCAGGAAGATCCAAAAGGGACTCCTGCCGTTTTGCGGGTCCCTACCATTTGGCTGTGGGTCAACAATGCGTACCCAACATGGAACCCTGATAAATGGAACCAGAGCCTAAAACCTGCGGTCCAATTCCTGTGGTGGTTTTTAGTTTTGACCCATCCCCATTTGTTAAAACAATTCTGCACGCTTCGCGAACAATTCGTGCAGCGCAATGAGCCTGGATTCGGAGCTGGGCGAAGGCACTGTCGAGGCGGGAGTTGAGGCGCAATGGGCCAAGCCACAGACATGGGTGAGATCATATGGGTATGGGTCAAAATCAAAAGAGGACCGCTGGTTTTGGGCTTTGTACCAGGGTTCCATTTTTTTGGTACCTAATTTTGAACCACACCTATATCCTCCCTTTTTCTCCGTTTTTTTCCCCCTTTTTTGCCAGGTTTTGATTGTGACTGGCTTGGGGTTGGTACAGTGATACCCTAAATATTGCCAGGGAAGAAGGGGGAACAGGTCAATGTCGTGTTTTTCATGGGTGTTTGTGGTTGGAAGTGGTTTCTTCCCTTTGCGAGTGGAGCATCCAGGCCTTGGGTGAAGCAATGAGAGGCGAAAGGGACCGGCTCGGGACGGATGTACTGCACTCAGAGGGATTTGTGTCGCAAGGTAAAAGCACCTTGAGACTTGAGGTGCATCCAGAACTTGGCGTGCACTGGTGGTGGCCCGGGAGAGATGCGTTGAGAATGAGGGGTGTTTTTTCTGACAATGTCTCAAAATGTGGGAACCCCCCCAAAAAAAAGTTAAAAATAAAACATAAACAAAACAAAATTGGTGGTTTGCCTCTAGTGTCCCTTTCCAACCCCAAGCATCATGGAGCCCGAGAGACTGGAGGACCACTTTCCTCACGAGCACTCGGGAAGTCCAAGTACCCAGGCTGAGATATGGCAGTGCGCTGCTTCGCCACGTGGAAGGCTGGTTTCACCTCTGCGAAGAAGGGAGCTTCCTCCAAAAAGGATCTGGTGTTAGGGATCCATGTGGGCCCCACTTGTATGGGGGACCCTTTGGTGGACATCTTTTTGGTGGGAATTCATGGTCCCGTTTAGTCATGGCCCCAGATGGTGATCACCTTTCATTTCTAGGTCCTTTGGGCAAGTGAGACAAGGATCTGGTGTTTGGGATCCATGTGAATTGCGCTGCGCAAGCGCCTGCTGCAATTCTTTGCGTCTGGATCCTTGGCACCCGGATTCATTGCCGGCACTCTCAGGCATGACTGGGCAGGAGATGGAGACAGAGCGGAGCTTAGTCAGATTACCTGTAAACAGAACTCGGATTCACAAGGGGTGCAGCATTTCCCGCTCGCTTTTGGGCTGCATGGGTGTGGCTCAAAATTGAGCAACTGGGGCAAACCGCGGGTTTTAGTCTACCTGTCCATTTACCAGGGCAAGCCATTTGGACCCCCATTTTTGAGCCACACCCGCATAGGAATCAGCGAATTTTCACCTATACCTCTCGCAACCGCCCAAGGCTCCGGCTCTCGGAACCGCCGACGTTTCCGCAGGCGGGGGTTGGAGATGCTGCGTGGCGAGGGCTGACCCCGTAGACCTGCCTGTTGCAGCTGCTGAGTTTTTACCCTGTGACTCTTGAAATGCAGACATGCTTCCTGCCTGGTTGACTGCTTGCAATGTGGACATGCTCCATTCCTGGTACAGCTGCTTCGTGCGTCAGAAGTTGTACCCTGTGACTGCTTGGAATGCAGAGATGCCTCCTGCCTGATTTTGCAGCTTCTTGGGCAGGCATACTTTTCCCCCCTGTGATTGCTTGCAATGTAGACATGCCTGTTCCTACAGCTGCTTAATTTGTACCGCGTGACTCTTGAATTGCAGACATGCTTCCTGCTGATTGACTGCTTGCAATGTAGACATGCTCCTTTCCTATTTCTACAGCTGCTTCTTGCGTCAGAATTTGTACCCTATGACTCTTGAAATGCAGACATGCTTCCTGCCTGATGTGACCGCTTGCAATGTAGATTCTACAGGTGCTGCGGCCGTCAGAATCTGTACCTTGTACAGACCCGTGACCGCTTGGCTTGATTTTTCCGGCTGTTTCTGCTGATAGAATTTGTACCCTGTGATAGTGACCGCTTGCCATGCAGACATGCTTCCTATTTGATTTTACAGCGTCTTGGGCCGCCGTAGTTTTCCCCCTGTGACCGCTTGCAATGTGGACATGCTCCATTCCTGGTTCTGCAGCTGCTTCGTGCGTCAGAATTTGTAGACCCGTGACCGCTTGCCTTGATTTTTCCGGCTGTTTCTGCCGTTAGAATTTGTGCCCTGTGATAGTGACCGCTTGCCACGCAGACATGCTTCCTATTTGATTTTACAGCGTCTTGGGCCGCCGTAGTTTTCCCCCTGTGACCGCTTGCAATGTGGACATGCTCCATTCCTGGTTCTGCAGCTGCTTCGTGCGTCAGAATTTGTAGACCCGTGACCGCTTGCCTTGATTTTTCCGGCTGTTTCTGCCGTTAGAATTTGTGCCCTGTGATAGTGACCGCTTGCCACGCAGACATGCTTCCTATTTGATTTTACAGCGTCTTGGGCCGCCGTAGTTTTCCCCCTGTGACCGCTTGCAATGTGGACATGCTCCATTCCTGGTTCTGCAGCTGCTTCTGCGTCAGAATTTGTAGACCTGACCGCTTGCCTTGATTTTTCGGCGGCTGTTTCTGCCGATAGAATTTGTGCCTGTGATAGTGACCGCTTGCAATGCAGACATGCTTCCTATTTGATTTTACAGCGTCTTGGGCCGCCGTAGTTTTCCCCCTGTGACCGCTTGCAATGTGGACATGCTCCATTCCTGGTTCTGCAGCTGCTTCGTGCGTCAGAATTTGTAGACCCGTGACCGCTTGCCTTGATTTTTCCGGCTGTTTCTGCCGTTAGAATTTGTGCCCTGTGATAGTGACCGCTTGCCACGCAGACATGCTTCCTATTTGATTTTACAGCGTCTTGGGCCGCCGTAGTTTTCCCCCTGTGACCGCTTGCAATGTGGACATGCTCCATTCCTGGTTCTGCAGCTGCTTCTTGCGTCAGAAATTGTAGCCCCGTGACCGCTTGCCTTGATTTTTCCGGCTGTTTCTGCCGTTAGAATTTGTGCCCTGTGACCGCTTGCAATGTAGACATGTTCCATGCCTGATTTTACAGCAGCTTCGGCCATAGGCATGCTCCGAGGCTCTACATACGAGGAGATGGAGGAAGATCTTGAAGTCGTGGTTTGCCTAGTGATTACTCACAGTAACACAAGGTGCAAGATTGTCTTGGAGTGCTTGACAGTTGAGAGCACTGTTTTTCGCATTTACCCACGTCCACATTGAAGGGCTTTCGTTTCAGTTCTTTTTTTCAGACCCGAAGCTCCGTGGCTCTGACCTTCTCTTCTCTCGCGCGCGCCTTCCCGAGGCGTGGGAAACTTTAGAGATGGCCAGGCTCGGAGAGTCGGAGAGATGGCCAGACTGTGGGCTTCCCTCTTCCCCTTGTTTTTTTTGAGCTAAGCCAACTGGCTGCCTTCCGCCTCGGCTGACGCTTTTCCGGAAGGCGCTGTTGCGAGATCCAGGCGCGAGATCGGAGAAGTTGCTTCAAGTAACCCGTTGGACCATGGGAAAGACGCATGCGATCGGTGCGATCGGTGCGATAGGGAACGAATGGAATGAACCCAGTCTTTTGAAAGGAACCCAACATGTTTTTTTTTGGGGGGTCATTCCATGTCCCATTTGCCTATCTATCACCAGGCAGTTGGTTTTCGGACCTCGAGGAATTGGAGTCTACACGAAAATCAGTGGCTCATCTGCGTCACGTCGCCGTGGGTTTGCGGGCCTTTGCGTTTGCGGCTGCGATTCGCGCAGGGAGACGCGCTCCTGGCACGTTGTCATCTTCGCCTGGCCGACCTGCTTCTTCTTCAGGCCGGGGTGCGGCTCCGATGCGAGCCTCTTGGGTGTTTTGGGTGCGGCTCGAAATGAAAGAGCCAGGGTCACGCAGGTAGAAAATGGATCCATTTACCAAGGCGCTTTTGAGCGACCGCCTTTTGCGAGGGGCACAAATCCTTGGCGCTGGAGGAGTGATGGGCTCGGCTTTCGGATGCGCTTTCGGATGCTTCAGGTTGATGGTGTCCCGGGAGTTGGATCACTTTCGGGCTGGGTTCCGGGTGGAATCCGGGGTACCGGGCATGGCGCTGAGCTAAGGTGCAAGCGGGCAGCGAGCCTTTGCAAGTCCGACGGCGATCGGGCCACGCTCTTGGCATGCTTTGCCCCAGCCCCCAGCAAGGCAGATGTTCAGATCATCCTGAGGCCACTGCGTCATCGCGCCTACAAGAAATCGAATCATTGGCTGCTGCCTTTGTTTCTTTGGCAGCTTGCAAGTGACCCGCGCACACAACCTAGACCATAAGTTCTGAGGTCGAGGTTTTCATCCATCAAGGACGCCGTAATGTTTAGTCCAACGGAAGCGTTCGTTGGTTCTTCCATTGCTGGCCGCAAGCAGACACACACACACACACACCAAGATAGGCGCACACATAAACACACACACAGGCACTCCCACAGACACACACACACACACACCCACCCACCCACCCACCCACCCACCCACCCACCCACCCACCCACCCACGCAAGCACGCACGCACGCACGCACGCACGCACGCACGCACGCACGCACGCACGCACGCACGCACGCACGCACGCACGCACGCACGTATGTATGTATGTATGTATGTATGTATGTATGTATGTATGTATGTATGTATGTATGTATGTATGTATGTATGTATGTATGTATGTATGTATGTATGTATGTATGTATGTATGTATGT